TGATGAGCCAACAGTTATGCTATCAGGTGTTTGGTCAGGTGGAACGTGTTTCTTGATTATTGGTCCATGTGTGAGGCATTTTGAATATCAGTGTTTTAAACCTGCTAACACGTGACTTTATGTCAGATGTCTGTGTCTTACGTGGAGAAATGTGTGCAGTGGTTTGCAAATTGTGTGAAAAGCTGAAAACGTGTTTAGAGTTTTGGAGATTTGAGCCGATGTTTTGCTCTTTGAGTGTCAGTTAAAATAATTGTGCTTTATGTATAATTGTAGTGTGTTAGCAATCGAGAAAAACTGTAACTGCAGCTTGTTAATTCAGTTCATTCAATGATTGGAGGCATTTGACTAAACCCACTATTTAAATATATTTGGAGTGTAAATTGTAAAGAATCAGGTTTCTCATGGGTCAATATTGAGACACCTTGACCATACAACTACTTGTATTTAGTACAATGGAACATGAGACCTTTCCTACTTTCTTCTTTTTGTGAATAACGTCTACGTTCTGGCTGAAGGACTTCCACGACAGTCGCATGTCGAGTCTGATGTCCTCTCTGACATCGGTCCCTCGGGCCACCCAGCTGCTGGATAAGGAGCCGGCTCACATCCTGCTGGTTAATTCTCTGGAGCACGAGTTCAAGCGTTACCTGCAGCAGGTTCACAGACACACCTTCCGACAGGACAAGAAGTACGCTGTAGAAGAAGAAGCAAACACATGCTGATCAATGCAGGAGGAAATCCAACAATATCACTAATGATCAACCATTTCTCTTCAAACAGGGACCCTGACATTACCTTTTTTGATCAAATGAGCCAACAAATTGTGATGTACAGGTAAATATTTCTGTGTTCAAATACATCTTGTGCTTACTTTTATTTCAATATGTTTGGACTCTCATATGCTTTTTCTTCCAGAGTGAAGCCTGCAGCCTTTGATCTGTTCCTCGGCGGCTGCATTGCGGCTTATTTGGCAATCGTTTACTACACCATTCAGGTCCGTAAATGTACCCTTTTTACATTGTCCATTCATACTGTTTTGCATAGCACCCTGCATTTCTTCTTGTGCTTTGAACACTTGACACTTCCGGTTTGTCCTCTCACAGCATCTGTCTGTTCTCTCTTACAGAATTTTGATTATCTCTACGTAAAGCTCAAAGCGGCAGCGAAATACAAGCACGAGTAAATAACACTGAGTCTATGGCAAGGGCTTTGAAGTCTGCATCGCATCATGTCGGACGTCTGCTTCACTGGCTGTGCAGAACATGAAAGCCATGCAACAAGAATCTTCTGAGGCTGATCATCATGCATAACTGAAAGAAGCATGCATTTGCTTTGAAATGTTTATCCATTTTTCTATCAAATACACTGCACTGTTGTTGTTTGGAAGAGATGTAGAGAGTATGAATAAAAGGAAGAGTTTGGGATTTGCCTTGCGTCAAAGTATACTACAGAAGGGAACACAAACTAGTGATTGGATTTGATTTAGAGGCCCAGTGAAGGTCGTTCCTGCCACATCATTACTATGATTCCCCATGTCCTCTCTGCATCTGTTGACATGGATTTGACTGGGCTTAACGTGGCTGTCAAACAAGGCCCGACCACTGCAGCGAGATGAACAGCCAGTTCCTGTCACAGATAACTCAGTGAAAGCAGTGGAGACACAATGGCACCCTACAGCGCTTTGGTAAATTATTGATGCTCATGTGGCATGCTGACAGTGAATAGAGGTGACCCTGGGTGGTGGGAGATTCTTAGAAATCCCATCCCTGCTCCAGTTTGTTCCAGTTCTGCAGCTCAGATAAGACTTATGTTGCTTTAACTTTGAAGCAGCAAAAGAGCTGGAAGCCTCATGTTTGAGATCAATGCTGGTTACTTTGTGAGGGCCCCTGGGAGGGAGTCATGGAGAGTGACCCCAGGTATGTGTGTCTCTGCAGGGGGCCTGGTGCTTAAGGGGATTAGTGTCCGAGTGCTCAGGTGGCACAAAGAGATGTTCTGGTTCACCAAGGATGCTCTTCACCCGTCTCTTACAACATATAGCCTAGATTAATCACAATAGCTGCATGTATAACAAAGATTTTACCATCTACTGTAGTTGTTCGGTGATCCAAGCAGGGTTTACAGCTACTGATGCATGCAAACGTGCTGTGTTCTGATCCATTAAACACAGGGAGAGTAATATATACACATAAAGTAGGTGGCATGCAGAACCCAGCAACAGTTTTCAGTGGAGAAAACACACACGTTAGGATATTTGCATACCAAAAGTGCAGGTAAAAGAATAACAGATGCACACGAATGAGGGGAGGAGCCACCAGGTGACAGGGGAGGAGAAGGATGCACATAACTTTTAAACAGACTGGAGGGGAGCAGGTGAAAAGACGATAAGTGAAGATGGCTCCTCAGCTCTATTTAACTATGTACAAAGAGCAGTTTGCCTCTCCTGGCACAGCAAAACGAGAACAGCTTCGACCCACCTCTGCCCACCGCAGGAACAACCCCCAGCCCCGGCCGGTAAGACGAACAGCCATGGACTGCATGGGTTTAAAGGGATATTTAATTATGATTGTGCAAGGACAATTTCTGGAGAAAATGTAAGTCGTAATCCTACAGTATAATCAATGTATTTAGCTACTGAAATAATTTAACATTTTATGCATTCAATGTCAAACAAGGCTAATTGGGCCACTTATTGTTGGCAGTATCTTCATTAAGCCACACTATTGTGCCTTACTTGGTGGCTGGTTGTTTACATTTCCCTTTGCTGGATGAAAGCTGTATCACATCTATTATTCAGAACTTCCTCAATGCCTATTTATTCAACCCGACATGGAGTAAACAGAGATCAGGAGAGATAGAGAGTATAGTCATCCTTCTGTAAAGGAAATAAAAAAGCCTAAAACCTACTCAACACATTTTAATTTAATATAACTAATTTAAAACATGGATGTTCTTTACGTTCTGAGAACTGAGAGAATTACATAATCTTCAACGAATCTTGAAATCTCTTGGTAAATTCAAAAAGAATACATAACTGAATAAATACAGTTTTTTTATGTGGTCTCAACATTCCTTTTATTGCGTTTCTATTCCGTTTATCATATTTCTATTCCTTTAAAAACTATTGTATTAATGTATAACATATTTTTTCTTTCTTTGCTTTTATCCAAGCACTTTGTAAAGATGGATTTTAAAGCTGCTTTTTAAATTATTATTATTATTATTAATTAACTAATTGTAAGAACGACAGTTACATATTGTTTTTAATTCACCTTATCTTCTATTTTTTTTCTATTTCTAGCCATACATGTCCTTTTATCCCTTGTCTTTACAGGACTTTCTGTTTCCCAAGAGCCTTCAGTCCAACTACAGGTCATGCCGCATATTTCCACACCCTTCGCCCCCTGCGGACATTGGCCGTCCCCTCTTTCCCCCTGTCAGACATTTATCATTCCACAGTCCAGTTGTGACTTGTCCAGACAACTACCTGATAACAGGCAAACCAAACCTCATGCCTCCTGTCAACCCATCCCCAGCACAAGCTCTGCCCTCTGCTGACGCACTGCAGAAACTACAACTGACTGAGCCTCCTTCTGGCACTGAGTTTAAGCTTCATGCAGCTTGGAAGAAGCCAACAGCAAGGTAGCACTACATTGGATGTATATACAGTCTAAAGAAGCCTCTAACCAAACTTGATTCTAATAGCTTTTCTTTGCATTCAAATTGACTTTCACAGGGCTGTCTATCCACTATCAGCACCGCAACTCAGGTAAGAGACCTCTTGACCTGACCTTTAGACCCTGAAAACCCTAGATACTGTTTGTTAATGAGCAATATTAATGATTCATCCTGACAAAATGACATTGTTATGGACAGGCAACATGCAGGGGCCCAGCTCCGAACAAGACCCCAAACCACCAACCCTCAATACCACTCTCTACGAAGGTCTAGCAGCCAGAATAATAGGTGAATATTGAATAAATCTGTCAAAGTGTGCCAAAAGTAAGAACCATTGTGGTCTAATTTCTGCTCTGATGGTCTCTCTACAGTGGGTGCTACAGCTGCTTCCACGTGGTGAAGCCCTACCAGGCCAGACACTACATCATACATCCAGAGTTTGTGTCTGAGTGTCTTCGTTAGGACCATGAGCACTGTTTACCAAAGCGGCGACTGGGGACCTGCTGAGGTCCTATATGGAGATTGTTAACTTCACTATTGTTTAATTCTTCACTAATTAACCCAGCGAGACAAGGTGTAAGAATTCATAATGTAACTGTAGGCGGCACTCTTAAAACTATTATATCCCTTCACAGCGTGGCCACTTTTACAACTCAGTACTAAATCAAGCAGCAAAGATCTTCCCAGAGTGAGGCAATGTGGCCCTAATGTGTTTCAATCTGTGGCATTAGAAGTGTATCCTACTAGAGAGATAATCTTTTGATAAAGGAATTCTTTAATGCGTGTTTGGGGGGTTAAAACATTAAAAAAAACTCTGCAAACAAGGAAACTTTATAGACTTTTTATGGGATTATCATGTTATTTATCTATAGCAGACTTGAGTTATATGGTCATATAATGACTTGAGTTCTATGTGTGGTCATCATTATATGACATAACATAGAAATTAAGTGCTCATAACAAAATGTTTTAGGCTCACTTGCTATGCAAAAAACGTTGTAATTTAACTAGTGTGACAGGTTTGAATTATGTACAACAGTGTAATTGATATATAATGAGAAAATAAACGGTAATGCTCCCACCTACTGGACTACATTTCCCATGCTGCGGTGGGCGTATAGGCGGATACCCATCAATCAACATGCCTTGATGCCTCTTGGTCTTTTTCTGTGAACTGAAGCAAACACGTTGTGCTCGGAGCTGCAGAGGGGGCAGCTGCAGATCGGTAGGCAACAAACTATTTATAATGAACAGTTAAACGTTTAGCATGAGGGTAAACGATAATACTATGCTACTTTTCTCTCACGGATTACGGGTTGTTTTCCCTCCGTTAACTTTCCTGCACTACCGCGCAAAACAACGACTTTCTATAAATCGGACTATACTGTATGTAGACGCTGTGGGTACATTAGCGAGGAACATTTATTTTCAGTACGGCTATAATAATGCATGTATTATAGCCTACATTTGTATTTATATTTCTACTAAATATGCATAATTTAAGTAAAAAGTTAAACTAATTCACAGTGAGACTTTACTGTAGCTCTGTAAAGTTCTGCCGTGTGCTTATCTAAGTTAGCTGAGTATAACTGTAAACACATACGCTTACTCTCACGCGCACACACAAACACGCGCGTGCTTCTTACGGTATAGTGAGGCTTCTCACACTTCTGTTCCGAATGTATCAGCACTTCTGTGTCTATTTTTTCCATGTCAGAAAAGATAGTGGATCGGCTGAAGTGGCAGCTTTGACACCCCCTCCTCCTTATCACAGCATAAACAAAGAAAGCTCCGAGTCTGCCTGTTGACACTGTTTCAATGAGACAAACAAGCCACTATAGCAGGCATGGAAAACAGGGTGGGTTGTCTTTGTGTGTAGTTAAAGAGTGTTAAGATTAATCAGTTATAGGGACATACACTTTTGAAAACCTTTTTCAAAAGGTTGATGCACACTGTAGATCATTTCAAGAATTATAGAATTACTTAATTACATTGTTTTGTTAAAAATAATTTTAAGTTAGCATTCCGGCCTCCAGCATCCTACAAATATGAATATTTTCTGTAGAGCTGCAACGAGGAATTCATTATAAAAAGTATTTTTGTTTAAACTATAATATTTGTAGTAACTTTTCAAGCGAAAATGGACGACACTTTCTGGTTCTAGCTTCTCAAGTGTGCTGTGTAATTTTGGACAGTGGAAATATGCATTTTCACTTAAAAAAATAAATAATAGATTAATTGGTTTCCTTAATTCATAAACAAATGTTGGGATTTTTAGGTTATAGTTAATCAAAAGCGATCTGAACATATCCCCTTGTGTTTTGGGGAACTTCAGTGGATATTACACACTGTTTTTACACTTGAATTGACTAAATTAAATGAAAAAACAGACAACAGATTGATTAATAACAACATGTATTTTGATTTAAAGTTGATTAGATAAATGCAAATATAAATAAATATGAATACAGTAAACCACTTTGTCAATTTCTGCAGCCAGAGTGGATCTCCAGGGAACCAACAGTTAGTTCTCTGTTAATTAATGATGGGCTCATGTTATCAGTCCTGTTGTTGGAGGAAATCTATACTAAGGGTGGTTGAACACAGAATTAGTCAATTAGATTGCTAATTAATAGCAAGCATTTTTTATTATCGACCTTTGCTGCCAGTGCAGACCAGGAGGGTCAATTGCAGTTAGGACAAGTCAGCATACAGGGAGTACTCTGGAGGGGACTGAACTCCCCTCTGTCGGCAATGCACCTTAATCTAATCTATTCTGATTAGCCAAAACCACAATAACTAACATCAGGTAGTTAATTACCCGTAAACGTTTTTGCTGTATCCCTACTGGGAGGGACAGACTGGTCTAAATGAAATAGAAACATCAACAACAACAACAACTGTTTTTTGGCAGTTTTGGTTGATCTGGCGTGATGAAGCACACCCTCCAAGCTTAGTATTCTTTCCTCTCCTTCCCGGCATTGGCAGAGCATTAAGGCCAAAATCCCCTTTCTGCTCCTCTACTTCCTTACATACAAATTAGTATTTTTTCAATTGAACTCGTATGTTAGAATTACTGCTGGGAACATCCACTTTATCCTCTTACGGGTAATTGACAGTAGATTTGTTTTGTTAAATCACACATCTTAAAAGTTTACATTCTGACAGCATAATACCTCCAAGTGCTTTGGAATCCCTTTGTGCAGCAATGCAGAGCATGTAAGACAATGCAGAAATGTAATAGAGGCTTTGAACTGACAAGGAAACAAAATAGAATGAGAACAAGCCTGGCAGCTAGTGTTTTCTGGCTGGAGCTATTTTCCTGAAATTACCTGATAGTTAAGTGATTTGAAGTAATCTCGACTAACCACAGCTGGTAAGATATATAACGTGAATGTTCTGTCCAAAGGCTAAAGGTACAGGATGCCTTGTTATTTGATCCTCAATGCATTTTGTCTATAAATACTGTTTCAATGAGAAAAGCAAATATTGCATGAAGACTTTGACATTGACTTTTCAATGCTTGTTATCTCTCTCTCATGACAGGCAGGCAAATAGACACAAAGACGGGGCCAGAGTGCGGCACACAAGGTTCCCTGGAAAATATTTCTTTGAGCTCTTAAAAAGCAACACTCAGATTTGCCAACTGAACAGCAGAAGTCATGTACCAAGTTGTACCAGGAGGAGCAGGGGGCACAATTACAGATGTTATCCCCAAGCAGAAACACAGCAAGGACACTCGACCCTTAGTCGGAGCCGGGGTAATCGGCCTGGTGCTGGTAGTTGCTGCAGTGACTGCGTGGTGTTATTATATAGCCTCTATACGCAAAGCTGAGCTGCTTAAGACTCAGCTCCTGGATCTGAATAAAGATGGCTACATTATCCGCAACCAGGGAGGGTCTATTGTATTCAGAATGGATTTCAGGTTGGTATTTTACAATGGTCTTCACATTTTTAAGCTTTTGTAATGATGCATATTTCAGGTTCATTAGAATATTTCTGTATATGTAATCAAGTCGTTTTTGAAAATAAATTTGAGATTGCTTGTAAATCCAAATATATTTAAATCTTGGCAGGTCAGGTACGCTGGATTTGGATTCATGCTCCAAAGAGGGGGAGATGCTGAGCTGCGGACAAACCACTGATAGAAAACTGAACTTCTTCATCGAGACGGTGCGGCCCAAGGACACGGTACAATGCTACCGTGTGCGTTGGGAAGAACTGGTTCCTGACATTCCTGTTGAGCATGCCATGACATACACATTTGCACACTGGTATGGTGGTGCTGTGTCAGCAATACAACACTGGCCTGTTTCCATTAAAGGCCAACAGGCTCCCAAACCCTTTGTTACAAGTGACATCTACGCAAACCGCAATGAATTTGGAGGAATTTTAGAGAGTTATTGGCTTTCATCCAATGCTACAGCCATTAAGATAAATAATTCAGTACCCTTCCACCTGGGCTGGAATGACACAGAGAAGACCATGTCCTTCCAGGCACGATACAATGACAGTCCCTTCAAGCCAAACCCAGGAGAGGAGCCATGTGCTGAACTCAGCTACAGAGTGTGCGTGGGCTTGGATGTGACATCCATACACAAGTACATGGTCCGCAGATACTTCAACAAACCAAACAAAGTGCCTGCCAAAGTCATGTTTCGGCATCCTATATGGTCGACCTGGGCTCTACATAAGACTGATATTGACCAAGAGAAAGTTTTGGAGTATGCTGCCAACATACGCAAGTATAACTTTAACTGTAGCCAACTGGAAATAGATGATCGCTACACAAGGCGTTACGGAGAGTATGAGTTTGACCCCACTAAGTTCCCCAATGCCACCGCCATGTTCCAGAAGCTGAAATCAGATGGATTTCTGGCGTCACTCTGGATTCACCCTTTTGTTAACTATGACTCGGAAAACTTTCATACTTGCGTAGAGAGGGGGCTGTTTGTCCGTGAGCCTACAGGCCGGTTGCCTGCCTTGGTGCGCTGGTGGAATGGCATTGGCGGCATTTTGGACTTCACAAATCCAGAAGCCCGTGATTGGTTTTCCTCCCAGCTACGTTCACTGCGTTCCAGGTACGGAGTGTCATCCTTTAAATTTGACGCAGGAGAGACTAATTTCTTACCATGGAAATTCAGTACCAGAACTCCCATTCAAGACCCAAGTTTTTTCACCAGACGTTACACGGAAATGGCTATTCCCTACAATGATAGAGCTGAGCTGCGCAGTGGCTACCAGTCCCAGAACATATCCTGCTTCTTCAGACCAATTGACAGAGACTCTGTTTGGGGCTACGAGTTAGGTCTCAAATCTATTATTCCCACCGTGCTTACCATCAGCATTCTTGGCTATCAGTTTATTCTACCAGACATGATCGGAGGGAATGCCTATTTGAACCGCACAGAGGGAATTCATGTCTTACCCGATCGAGAACTCTATATCCGCTGGCTGGAGCTGATAGCCTTCATGCCCTCCATGCAGTTTTCTATTCCGCCATGGGAATACGACAACGAGGTGGTTGAAATTGCACGAAAATACACAGCCCTTCATGAGAGTCTTGTGGCACCCCGGGTCCTGGAGCTGGCTAGTGAGGTGCTGGACACCGGGGACCCAATCATACGGCCCCTGTGGTGGATTGCCACAGGTGATGAAACGGCCTATAAAATCGACTCACAGTTCCTGATTGGGGATGACCTCATGGTAGCCCCGGTTTTAGAGCCGGGAAAGCAAGAGCGTGACATCTACCTCCCTGCCGGCCGTTGGAAAAGCTACAAGGGGGAGCGATTTGATATCAAGGAGCCCCTCCATCTCACAGACTATCCTGTAGACCTGGATGAAATTGCTTACTTTGTTTGGGTGTAGCAAGAAGTGAATGTCAAGCTGAACATACTTAATTTAGCCTTTGCTGGAATTTGCTGGTAAGACAAGCTTCTCAAATTCAGCTTTTATGCTTGTTACGAAAAAAGCTTTTCTCAATATATAAAGAATTTTTAAACAACCACTCATTACATCACTAAAGTGAAATTGTTAGGTTCAAACATGCTCAGAACCTTATCTTAATTTTAATCTAATTTTAACATATGAATTTTAAATTCTTTTTTTTGCATTTTCTTTGTGGTTTTATGTGAGATAACTAAGCAGTACACTCATTTTTTTAAACTTTTGTGTAACAATTGCTAACTGGCAGCCACTTTACGAAACATTTCTTAAAAAGGGAATACTCAAAACTGTGATTAAAGGTGGGGTAGGCAAATTTGAGAAACCGGCTCGAGATACAGTTTTTGTTGTATTCCATGGAATGCTCTTAACATCCCGATAGCAATGAATATCTGAAGTGCTTTGACAAAAAATCCATACAAAAATGTAATCTGTGGAAGCCGTATTACTGTAAAAAGCACGACCAATCAGCCGGCCCGGCTAAAATAACTGGATGGCCTATCTGCCTGTCAGCCTTCCATCTCTGCACAAACTTATCTCGGGCCTCATTGGTCATGTGCGCGTTCGTGTGTGTTGGTTTTCCGGCTGTGTATTTCAAATTCTAGCGCACTCAAGCTGGTTTCTCCAAAATTACCTACTCCACCTTTAAGTAAGGCACAGTTGCCATTGTATGCCGTACGGTGTACAGTTGAATAAGCCACACGGATTGTATTTTGGGAGGCAATTGAATGGGCTACCTGAAACCGTCTTCTACGTTTATGCTCCGAGGTACTTTTCAGAAAGTCAGGTTTAATGCTTCACTTATCAGGATGAATGCTTGAGGTTTAATCATTACAAACTGCATGTGCGCTCATTTGTGGAACACAGTGTCATGTAACTACTCTTAACGCAGGAGAAGATGCCTTTTATTAGGTACTAAATATTTTATGCTCTTCCTCAGGTAACAGCTTTTTCTGGCTGCAGTGAGTTTTAAAGTATCTGTTTGTGTCTTTGTCTTTATTGTGCTTGGCTGACAGCTAGGGAGCTATAGTCATACTATAAGCGTATAATACATTGAACACAATAACCTAAGTGAAAATGGTCTGGTTACTTTATACCTTCTTTGTACGCAGTGTGGAAGTCTAGATGCCATGACAGCATTTTATTATCAAATGTTAATGGCACAGTGTTTTTCTTAATGTGAATATTTTCTAACTAAGTGCCATGATAACAATTACTGCCACATTATTTGCGATTTGTTGTTTTGCTATACATTGGATATTTTATGTTGTTACATTTGTTCTGTAATTTTATTGTTATTTTAATGGGTCAAGTTAAACCTTTACCACAAATGCCTAAACGTCTAAAAATGATGTCTTAAACCGTCTTAATCATTTTTTGTAGCTTTAGCTCCAAATACATCATGTGATATCACAAATGCACAGATGCAACGGATATTGGTTGTCTTATCAAACTCGATGTAAGGCAGCAAGGGGACTATACTTGAAAAGTTAAACCAATAAAGAATAATATTGGTTACATTGTCCAGCCATAGAAATAAAGGCTTTTGAATCTCTGACCCTTTAATTCTAACATTATGATTCCTATGGTAATGAAAGCTTTAGCGCAAGTTCAATAAGGAAGACCTAACTCGAGTCACTCACACGTCACTCTATGGCTCCCTTCCCCCCTCATTAAATATGAGGGCGTCACGCCTCAGCAGCCAATCGCTGCACATGCTAAATGCCTTAAATACCTGCTCTTCCTCCCTGTCAGTTGTCATTGCAGATGATCACACGCAACCCGCCTCCACCCCTCTCGCCTCCCGTCTCCTTCAGGACAAAGCTAAACCTTCCTCCTTCAGACCGGTCTCACCTACTCATCACCACCACCAGTGTCTAGACCCCGGGGATTTCATCGGAGCGGTGCTTTCCCTCCTGAATGATTATCCTGCAAACCGGGGGCCTAATCGCCAAACACCATTACATTCTCCTGTTGTACTATCATGGCAATCATTTCATTCATATGACGTGTAAACAATAAATATGTAATTCTTACATCACGTCTCTCCGGGTTGAAATAAAGTTAGGGTGGATTCTGATGAGCTTTGAAGCTGCAATAAATATAAGGAAAACGTCCACATTATTATGGTGCAATGCTCTCAGTTGGCAATTCTTTATTTTTGAAAGCTGTCTTAATGGCTTACAGGTTGACATAGTTTCATCATAACAACACTCCCTATTTATAGCAGTTTCAGCATCTGGGCCAGGCCAGCCTCTGAGGCTATTTCTGTTTCAGACGGTCTGCTTTACGACGAGACTGAGAGGCAGTGTTTCTCGGACTGAATGTTTCTGCCTTTTGGCTCTTTCGACTTTGCGTGTGTCTTTGCCTTGAGTTATTGTAACTGAACATTGCCTTCATGTTGGCAATAGTGCATTTTTTACGTCATTTTGTATGAATGTATTAAAGGAAATCCTGTTTGCAAGCATTTTTGTTGTTATTGATTTGCACAAAACAAAATATTTGTTTTAAAAGTGAACATCACATTAAGCTACATGGCAACCACTACTAAATGACTGATAGCGAATGCAAAATTGACAATACCCAACTTTCACTTATTAAACACCTACATATATAACAAGAAGAAAAGACACATGGACATGCAATTAAGGTCAGTAAGCTGACCGTGCAAAGATTGAGCCAAAAATAACCTTTAAACTTTTACGAGTCTGGAATACAAAATAACTAATGTTTCTATCAATTCAGTATTGAAAGAGACACACTTGAGGGACTTGTCCAACTTTTGGCACCCTGCTTATCACGGTGATAATGACAAGGTGATGAAACAATTGTGCAGGTTATTTGGAGGCCGTGTTCAGATCAATAAATCATCTGCTGGTTCACAATGTGAGGCCATAGAGCAAGTGATATTAAACGACCAGACACCAAGAATAAAAGAAAATAAACTTCAGTGGGAGATAATAGCAACAATATTTATTGGAATTACAGCTGTAAGCATGATTGTTCTGTTCAAACAGCCTGGCAGGGCCATTTCATACAGCTTTAGTCGATGTTTCATGTTTGGGGAATTTATTCCATTTCAAAACAACGGGTATGCTTCAGAACTACTTCACTTTATTTGCCAATGCCTCATCTTTCTTCAGAATTGATCTCGGCTTGCAGCCTGCGCAGGGAGGACATACATTCATTGATTAGCTGTCTGTGTGTTGCAGGGATCAATATTATTTGTTGGTTTGCTTTCTGCAATCATATTGTTTGGTTCTGCCCGTCCTTTGATAGGCTGGACAAGTCATTTATGGAGGAGCTTTAAGGGGAGCTTGGAGATATCTAAAAGGAGGGTTACAAAAGAAAACATTTTATATAAAAAAAGAGAGAAATATTTTATGCCAAAACAACAATTCATTATATTTGTTCTTAGTCCAGTGTGTTTAGGCACTTACTTTACTGTTCTGTATTTCATTAATTTGTTGAATTGCTTTCTGTGATAGCAGTACGAGTGGAGGTTACAGCATAAAGCTATGATACAGGGCGTTAACAATAAAAAAAGTATATTAAAAAAAATCATAGGTTAGTTGTGAAAGATCTTTGAACAGGTCACCCTTGAAAAAGAGATCTTTTGATCTCAAGGGGCTTCACCTGGTTAAATAAAGGCTACAAACAAACAAACAGATAATGAAATTAGTGTTTCAGCCATGCGGTGCTGCAAACGTCCAGGAGGGCGCAGTGTAGCTTCATTGATAAATTCTCTCTCTGACGTGCCAGTGGACCATGGTCCAGATGTTATGCGCGTACACACACACACACGCACGCACGCACGCACACACGCACGCACGCACGCACGCACGCACGCACGCACGCACACACAGACACAAGCACACACCAAGCAGGACACAAAACTGGCACAGTACTTCCCCTCTTCCTTCCCCACCTGTGAGCCCACCTGTGTGTCCATCTGCAAAGGAGAGACGCCAGTTGTTCTGGTTAGGAGCCAGTGTGTCTCAAGTACCTTCCAATATCCTCCTTCCATGAACCTGTCTGCTGTCTGTCCTCCCCATAAGCATATATATTACACAGAGAAAGTGTCCCCTTAACAACAACCATAAAAACAGCCAGCATAGATGTATCTTTAGCAATTAAAAACTTTTCTAATCAGAAATCATGTCTTAAGTTGTTTGGAAAATCGTACAATACTTAAAATAGAATTAAAAACGACCAGGATCAATAATTAGTGTCAAAATGAATTATTTTGTCTCATTATTGTAGCTTATTGTGCAAAAGATTGTACACTACCTCAATTTATGTCGCAATTTGTACAGCTAAATGCAGCTATACTTGAATTAACAAGAGCCACACATTGGCTAATTAATGAATAATATATATTGCAAACAACAAATTAAACATCTGTAAAATAATGGTAGATGAACGTGAAAACTACTGAATCCATCATCACAATTGCTGTTAGATCACAATTATACAGCAAAATGAACAGGAGACAAACAATGATGAATAAGCTTCAGTTTTTATTAAAAAACTCTCCAGCATCTTGGAGCAAAGTGTTGAAAGAGCGTTTATTGTAGAGGACCACAGGGGAAATAAAACCCCACGGCCGTCTCTTGTGTGAAGTGAGAATCTTTGTCCTTAACCCAAGATTTTCACTCCGTAACTGGAATGACCTCGCATCTGGTGCTGCCACGGCTTGTCTGACAGGAATATGTCTGTCCTCGGTAGGTAACAAATGAACCCAACACCCCAGAGACTTGTCTCGCATCTGTTTATCTTTTTCACCTGTCGGTTCGCTGCACTGCATCAGGCTTACACTCCTCTGCAGCCTTTGTGGATTTCAGAGCATGCCTCTGGCATTACAGGGACAGAGATAGTCAGTGTTGGCTGGTGGCAACATTGTTAACTTTATAACTGGATTTGATGTTAAAGTATAGTGTGTTAGCCCACTTACATTATTGAGACTTGATATAATTATCTTTACTGTTACACTGTTCATATTAGATGTATTTTCTTTGGCTTTCTTTCACATGTTTATATATTTGCTATCATCTTTTGTGTTTGTATTAAGTCTCAGCTAGAGCTGAAACAATAAGTCGATAAGCAGAACATATTGATGTATTTATCAAACAGAAATGCTAAAGTATCTCATCATCAATCAACTACATGTGTGACTCTTCTTTTCTTTTCTAAAATGTGGGTTTTGGACATTTGGCCAGGCAAAACAAGCACTTTGATGACTTTACTGTGAGCTTTAGGACATTTTATATACAAAAGGAAAAGTCTCTTAATCAAAAAAGTAATTAGCAAATTATTTTATAACAAGAAATTAGTTGAAGCCATTGTTTATAGCTCTAGACTTAACTGTAATTTCCTTGCTGCGCACGATGATAATAGCATTATGAGTCGATGCATTGTAAACATCTACAGAGTTAAGGAAAAAGGGCGACAGACATGCCTAAACAGTTCAATTAAGGAGGTGAAGACAACAGGCAGGGCACTTCCTCTGTGCCTTGGTGGGGGTAGAAGTTTGAACGAAATGTCAGCCACCAAGGAACAGATGCATAATTGAAATATTGCGTTGCTGCTGCGGCCGTGCACAAGGTTGTTTGATTGATACCGTTTTAGAACACTCTTGTCCCCTCATGCTCATGGGGTTTACCTGGGGAGAAACCAGGGGAGGGGGAAAGGTGCTTAGGTGGCTCATCTGGGTTTTGGAGGAAAATTGGTGCCATCCATCAAACACTGCATTTAACAAACGCTAACGCAAGCCTGGCCAACAAAGGATTCGTATATAAGGCAGCGAACCGGAAAACATGTGAGGTGCAGGGACTGCTGAGGGTCTATCAATCAGCCAGTCAGCTCCTTTATTTAACAAGCGAGGGCCACAGACCCTGAGGGCCACACTCCATATTCTGGCTGGTTGAGCTTGCAGTCTTCTCCTGTAAAAGGAAAGAAAAAGAGGACAGGAGGAATAAAAGGAGGAAGGAAAGAGGAGCATGAAGGGATTGGGGTTGGGGGGTGACGGAGGTGCAGAAGGGTTTGGCCCGTGTCCCCTGGCAGGCTGGTGCGCTTCATCTTCTCAGTGCAAGGGCCTGGAACTGCTGCTTGATGGGATTTTCAGCCCTGTGGCCTCCGCTGTCCCAGTATCCATCTGGAGGGCTGCCGTCTGCACAGCGGAGAGCCAGCCGTTCAGCGACACAGCCATAAAGAGCAAGCCGTAGGCCGCCAATGCCACTGATCTGAGGCTCGCAGCTCTGTTCAGTGGACAGGCCAACACTCAGTGGCACACATTCCTGTCGGGGACACAGGCTGATCCCTAAGCTACTGTGTGCTCAGTGGAATAGAGGAAACGCTCTGTGAGGCAGCCCACGTCCAACCACTGACTCCTTCAAAGCTCTGACAATTGGAATGGAACAAGGACTTCACTATTCAGCATCCTTAATGGTGTGGAGAGCACAATGTCCCCTGTCTCATTCTCTGTGTGTGTGTGTGTGTGTGTGTGTGTGTGTGTGTGTGTGTGTGTGTGTGTGTGTGTGTGTGTGTGTGTGTGTGTGT